AGCCGGCAACAAAGTCGGCTAGGGATGACTGGCAGAAGTATTGGTCCGAAACAGCGACTTCTATGGAGCAGGCCTGAAATGTTGGTGACATTCGACAACTCTACCAAATTATCGGCCCTCGACACTCTGTGATTCTGTTCGCCCAAGTACAGTAACTGAGGTAAACACTCCGAGCACCTCCTCAACTCTGATGAGTAACTCATCACGCCCTCCCTCTAGCATGGCTCGAGTAAAGTATACTGACTTCATCTCATACGAGTCCGTCCACACTCGCTGCAACAGTATCGCGAGGACATTTCAGGCCATGCAAGAAAGACGACTGAGGTGGTTTGGGCACGTTCTCCGTCGTCCACCTTACGAGGTTTGCTATGCTGCCCTCGATTCGGTGTCACAGCTTACAAGGCGCGTCAAAGAGGGGGGCAACTCAGGATTTAGCTCCATACATTTCGGCAAGACATAAAAGTGGTTTTTGGACCTTCGACTTTCGATCTGCGTCGCTGAAGAAGCGAAAGGATGGAACTTTCTATATCTACTACCGCTAATCAGCATGCGTGGAGAGGTACCGTTCGTGACATCATCGAAGCCAACTAGACAAGGTGTGAGCATAGTCGTAGAAAGTACAAGACGGAGTCAAAGGCTGTGAAATGAGGGGACGCAGCGTTTATAGAAATGTCGGGCACTCAGACAATAAGCGCAGTGAAAATTCAACAAATGTGCGGATGAAGATATTTTCACGTGAATCTGCTCGTAAAACTTAGACTCGGAATCTGTCTCCCAAGTTCGCAGTAATCAGCTAACACAGCCAAAACTTAATAACTACAAATAATACTGCGATTGCAAAACTATTTCGACCTCGCCATGCTGCATCCATGTTTAAGACACAGGAAATCGAGCGAACGCCATAGCTGTCCGCATAAATGAAAATTCGGCGAGCGAATAGTCGACCAAACTTGCAGTGTGATAGGGTTGCCATGACGACACGAAGCTTATCGAGTTGATCTTGAAAAGACGGATCAGAAACGCGTTTAGGTCTACAAATGGACATGTAACATTGCATTTTGAGGTAGAAAATAACGTAATCGCCGATTGGCCAAAATAGTTCACACTGGCGGCTTCCGTACTGTTGTTACCGTTAAATCTCATACTGGCAGGTCTTCAGCTAAGTCTGATAAGATTTTGTTGTCGTGACGGCGTCGTTATTAGCAGCTGGGACCAAGGGCCTTCTAGAGGAGAACAAATGCACACTCTGATTGTCTGAATGGAGGCAGAATAAGCCCCAAAACAGACTATTTTAAGCAATCCGCATTTTCTGCCCTTTCTCCTCTCTGCAATTAGTCTACGGTGGTTTTTTAGACTTTTTACGCTGAAATCGAATAGACAGTGCGGCCATTTTTCAGGATTTAAAAGCTGCCTGAAATCTGACTTGGAAATTAAACCTAAGGTTTCACAAGCGCTGGTGACCATGTGAAGAGGTAGTGTCCTGTCGTGCTTAACAAATGATTATGTAGTTAGTAGTTATTGCAGCCGTCTACATTTGACCTTAGCAAGTATGTGTGTAGCAGCTAAATCAATATCTATGTTGATGCACGCAGGAGCAATTCTTGAAGTGGTTATCAAGGCGGCAACACCAGTTAGGACATGGGGTTCTAATCTGATGATTCGCCAAATGAGTTTTCTCCGACCTGTGGGGTCGAAAGTAAAATTCGATAAATGAGTAGGCGGAGTCTTCATTTTTTGGTATAGGACGTTTCAAATATGGCAAGAGAGAAGTGCGTTCTTCCCGTAATAGCCCAAAGCCAAACTTCTTGAGCCTGGAATCATCTAGTTAGGGGCATAATCCCCCTGATATGAATAGGTTGAGGATAATGTCGATGTCCGTTTACTTAGTCTACTGAGAAGTCAGGCAAGCTCGCAGTCAGGACCGAGTTACACCTTTTTGAACAGACTGTCAAGTAGTTGGAGAGACGGGGCAGGGAGTAAGTTGGCGTAAACTGGGTGCCTTTATAGGTGTGTGGAGAAATGGCTTCCTTGTGTGAAGCATGTTTTGACATAATCTAGTCTGACTAACTAGCGCTGAACTCATTTAGAAAGCCTCTGCGCCCCCAGCGTCCC